TAGAGTCTGTTATCGGTTATCGGCTTTCAAAGATAAAGAATTATCGGTTATCGGCATTCAAATGTAAAGAATTATCGGTTATCGGCTTTCAAATATAAAGAATTATCGGTTATCGGCTTTCAAATATAAATAATTATCGGTTATCGGCTTTCAAATATAAAGAATTATCGGTTAGAGGCTTTCAAATATAAAGAATTATCGGTTATCGGCTTTCAAATATAAAGAATTATCGGTATCGGTCAAAATGTTCATATTGTGATTTGTGGATGTCAAAAAGAAAATAACTACAGTCGTGTTGTTCCCTCTGAACAGTGTGAATTACAAATTATTGCGGACAATCAAATGACAGAACAGAATGAATAAATCTGTGTGTGTGTGTTTTAAACTCGAGGCGTGTGTGATTCAGGTCGACGCTGACACCTTGTTTTTCCTCTTTCCTTGTCCTCCATCTCCGCGTCTCCACAGGAGAATCAGCCGAGGAGGAAAGATCCGTTAAAGAGCTTATCGAGAGCTCAAATCCTGCTTGCATAAGAGCGGCCTCACATGCTTCAGTCTGGAGCGCTTCAGCTGTACCGACACACACACTCGAGCATCTGTGATCATACACTGACACTGTTTTCACGAGTCAAACCGTCTGGGAATGAGAATGAGAAACGTGATAATGCATATCACAACCATCTTTACCGTAGCGTGTCACAGCAAGACTTAATCTCGTCCGTAAATCACGTCCCACACACACACGTACACACACGCACACACACACACACACACACACACACACACACACACACACACACACACACACACACACACACACGTACACACACACACACACACACACTCACACGTACACACACACACGTACACACACACACACACACACACACACACACACACACACACACACACACACGTACACACACACACACACTCACACGTACACACACACACGTACACACACACACACACACACGTACACACACACACACGTACACACACACACACACACACACACACATGTACTGTACAAACACACACACGTACAGTAGAGCTGCAGGATTGGGGATGAACTGAGAATCAACGTTTGTTTGTTTAAAATATAGATCACGATGTAAAGTGAGATATTTCATGCTTTATTTGTTGTAATTGGGATGATTATGGCTTACAGCTTATTAGCACAACATTCTAATTTTGAATTTGGGGTTTTCATATCTGTAAGCCATAATCATCAACATTATAACAAATAAAGGCTTGAAATATCTCACTTTGCATGTAATGAGTCTATATAATATATTAGTTTCACCTTTTAAGTTGAATCACTGAAATAAATGAACTTTTGCACCATATTCTCGTTTCTCGCGTTTCACCGGTACACTAATGTACTATCTGAATTTACATTTATGGACTACCGATGAGCATTAGAAACTTAATCTAAATCTTTTGAATGGTAGTGTACATATTGCATAACTTGTTTTGGACTAATCGAATGTCATGTGACTTGGAATGTCATGGATCTGCAAGAACATTAGCAGGAACGTCCTCATCGCGAACTCTTGGATCATTCCCGAATCCCAGAATCCCGTGGGGGGGAACCGGCCTCCGGAGCCTGGAATCCTCTGGCGTCTCGACACACACACGCACACACACACACTGTAATGAAGCGTTTGAGTTTTATTTTCAGGTCTCCTTTTGACCTCTGGAAACACACACTGACCAAAGCGCTCCAAGTCGCTTGCATTGTTTCGTGTGAAAGTGTGTGAGATCCACAGCTTTATAACGCGCTTCTACAGTGTGTGTTTGCGGCTCAATGCGTTTTGTAAGCAACATTTGTCATTTCATGTCCTGATCCAGTAGTTTTTACTGAGATGTGCTGCAGAAGAGTGTGTGTGTCATGAAACCCGCTCAAATATACAGTAGTTTTGTGGCAGTCAGTCCATAACTCTTGCTTTGAGTTCATAATGTTCTCCTAAATGTTGATAATTCAACTTTGAAAGAGATAAGTATTTAAAATTGTGTTATTCTCACAGCGAATGTTTTCCACATTTTTTCATCCACTGGAGGTTTTTCAGGAAAACATCACATATAAACATCCAAATAAAATATAAACATTATTTTTTTAAATGGAGAAACGGTAACTGTAATTTTAGTATTATGTATATACTATTATAGATGTGAAGTTGCTTTTATTTGTATATTTTAGCTGTAAAATGTGATATATAAAACTGAAAATCAAAAAATAAATGCTACTTCAAAATATCAATAAATCCAGAATTGTATATAAATAATACTAAAATTACAAGTTCTTTTTTCTTTTACATTTTTTCATATTTTGTTTGACAAAATGAAAGTTAGTTGTATAGTTTAAAATATTATATAAATAAATATATAAAAATCATTTGTGTCAAATTAAATATGAAAATGTATTTTTTTAAATAGTAAAAACTTGTAAACGTGTTATTTTAGCATAATTTATATACTATTATAATTTTTATTTTTATTTTGAAGTAGTTTTTATTTTTATATTTTCAACTCTATGAATTTGTCAAATTAAATATGAAAATTACAATTTTTAAATAGAAAGATGATTAGTAAACTTAGCATTATTTATATACTATTATAGATTTATTGATATTTTGAAGTACCTTTTTTTATATTTTCAACTGTGCAACTATCACATTTACAGTGTTGTTTCTTTCTTTTCTCTTACACAACAGTATTACTGTTAGTATTATGTAGTTTTTAAGTTTATTATTTAGTGCTTTTGTCAGTTTATCAGTTTTAGTTTTTTTTTGTTAAATATTTTCTAAATGCAATGCACGATATATCGGCAACGTATCGGTATCGGCCGATATATGTTCATATTTAATGTTATCGTTATCGGCCTGATAAGAAAATGTGTCCGATATATTAAAGCCGATAAATAATGTATTATTTCCTTCAGCTGAGACTCTTCAGATGCACTGTTCTACATGATGGCTTTAAATTTATTGAAATATGATTGGAATCACTTTAATAAGTGCAACATGTGCAGTGCAAGTCTGTCATAAAATCATAATGAGAACATCATAATTGTGTGTTTGGGACATGGCTTATAATGGTGAAACTTAAGTTTTTGTAATCAGGCTCTCAAAAATGATATAAAATTTGTATTTAGATTTATCGGCCAATATATCGGTTATCGGCTTTCAAATATAAAGAATTATCGGTTATCGGCTTTCAAATATATAAACAATTATCGGTTATCAGCTTTCAAATATAAAGAATTATCGGTTATCGGCTTTCAAATATAAAGAATTATCGGTTATCGGCTTTCAAATATATAAACAATTATCAGTTATCGGCTCTCAAATATATAAACAATTATCGGTTATCGGCTTTCAAATATATAAACAATTGTCGGTTATCGGCTTTCAAATATAAAGAATTATCGGTTATCGGCTTTCAAATATAAAGAATTATCGGTTATCGGCTTTCAAATATATAAACAATTATCGGTTATCGACTTTCAAATATAAAGAATTATCGGTTATCGGCTTTCATAAAATGTTCATATCGGTGCATCCCTATTATATTTTATTTCAGCTTTATTCAATTAACAAAAATGTTTATTGAGTAGTTTATTGAGAACAACACTAGTTGCAAATATTAGAATTAGTTTGCAGAAGTAATGAAAGATTCAGAACAACTTCCTGAAATCAGTCGCGTCTCGTGTAATCCATCAATCAGTGTTTCACCCGCACGTCAAGAAAGACGCTTTGTTTGCATTGAAACATCCGTCAGGAATCATCACTGAAAGATAATTACAGATGTTTTCTGATTAATTTCTCTTTTAATCACTCCCGGATAAACGTAAATGTGCAGCGAGGCGGATTAGCTGAGGTGACGTGACGCTAACAGACAGCAGACAAACGGCTAGCAGTGACATCAGGGGCAATCCACCTGTCACTCAAGTGGCCACGCCCTTAATTATGCACAACTTTAAGGCTTAATATCATTTAAACGGATGAGTTATAAAAAAATTCACCCCTCTCACAGTCGTCATGAAGGGCAACATTAGCTATATAGACCAAAACCACTTTTTGCACCAGACTGTAAACATGTTTTTTTCTGCTGTAAAGTTGGGCATTTTAACATGCGGGTCTATCGGATTGAGTCTCTTCTGCAGCCGGCCTCTAGTGGCCAGTGGAGGAACTGCAGATTCAAGAGAGAGAGTTGCTGCGTTTTTCTTCATAGCCCCGATGGAGTGTGATATTTTGAAGTAGCTTTTATTTATTTTTATTTTTTTCTATCAATTTATTTGTCATTTGTCAAATCAAATATGAAAAATATCTTTGAATAGAAATACAACTCTAGTTTGTATTGATATTTTGAAGTAGCTTTTATTTTTTATATTTCCAACTACAACTATCACATTTTCTGCATTTGTCAAATTAAATATAAAAAAATATTTTTAAATAGAAAAATAACTGTAGACTTAGAATTTTAGTATTATGCAGTTTTTATTGATATTTCGAAGTAGTTTTTTATTTTCAGATTTCATAGTTTATTTAGTGCTTTTGTCAGTTTATTAGTTTTCGTTTTGCGTTAAATATTTCCTAAATTATTTACATTTATTTTTTATTTCAGTTAGTAATTTTAGTACTTACAACTTATTCCATGGCAAAATATCTAATATTAATTTAGTTTAAGTTTTTTATCTAATACTTATATTTTATTTTATATCAGCTTTATCATTACTGAAAGATATAGCAGCCGGATTTTAGATTCGATTTTTTTTTTTTCGCTTGATCAAACCGAATGGACTTGCATGTTTTTGTGCTAATCACAGATTCATTAATTTAAACTCATATTCCACCCATAAAATATATTTCATGTCAGTTTGATTATGCACTGTTGTTCTAACCGAACGCTCTTGCATGATGTGCTAATCATAGAAAAATCCTTTAAATTAGCGATAAATCGAAGTTTCCTTTGTGACGTTTTGCGTTTTTCTTTCGTAGCACCGATGGAGTGTGTCGCCGGGTCGTCAGGTGTGTATCCGCGAGACCTTTTCGCACCGTTCAACCACATCACCGTCTCCAAAAAGCGCAACTGGCTCCAGCAGAGCGTTCTCAGGCCCCGGCTAGCCGACGACAACGACGCCGACGACGAGGGCGAGATTTGGTACAACCCCATTCCTGAGGACGAGGAGCCCCACTGCGTTCCCGCCATCACGGTGTCTCACACGGGTCCTGTGGTCGACGGCGACGGAGCCGGCGAAAGACCGACACTCGCGTGCAAAACGCAGGAGGAGAACCTCACCGTCAGAGCGACAGGTATTTTAAATGTTTATGCTAGTTGTTTTACTTTGAAATGTTCGTTTTCCGTGTTGGAATGCCAATTTTCATCGTCAATTGCGTTCGTTCTTGTTGCGTGTCTCAAACTGGCGACCCGCGTGAGCACCGAGTCTGTGGAGGCGGGAGAAACGACCATCTCCGATATTTTTAATTGCAGTACCTGTTTCCACCACTAGCTGTCATTCTTACAGACTGCACCTTTAAATGTGTAATACATAATATTTAGGAGGATCTGTTGACAGAAATGCAATATCATATTCATAACTATGTTTTCAGTGTTGTATAAAGACCTTACATAATAATCTGTTAAAAAGATAAATAAATAAAAAATTAAACAGAATAAGAAATTACTGTTGCAATTCAAGTATTGTCATATAAAATATAATATTAATAATTATTGTTATTATTATTAAATAAAAGTATTAAACAAAATGTTTTTATAATAATATAATAATTAAAATTATAATTATTGTTATATGAGGATTATTATTATTATTACTAAATAAAAATATGAATCAAAAACTATTGTACCATTTATATTTTAAGAGATGTTATGTAATCGAGTATTTAATAATATTATCATTACATTGTTATTACTACTAAATAAAAATGTTAAACAAATTAGAAATATTACTAATATATGATTATTGTTATGACATAATTATATTAAACAAAATAAGCAATATTACTATTGTAATATTTAATTATTTTAATACAAAATATAATAATAATGATTATCATTGTCATTATATCAGTAGTAGTAGTATATATTATTGTAATATAAAATATAATAATAATTATTATTGTTATTAATATTATTATTATTAAATAAAAGTATTAAATGAAATAAGAAATATTACTATTGTAATTCAATTATTATAATATAATGATAATTACTATTATTATAATATTATTATTTTTAATACTTAAAAATATTAAACAAAATAAGGAATATTACTATTGTAACATTGCACTGTGCAATAAATATTTTGAGAGAAATTATTTTAATAATAATTATTTTTTATTGTTTATTTATTTATTTTACAGGATAACATTACTGCATTAATGGTTGCATTAAATATTTCTTCAGACCACAGATGTTTGATTAATAAGAGCATGAGCTGTGGTGTGTGAGTGAGCACAGAGCTGCGCTTCACTCTGGAACACACAGATGTTTCTGTAATATGAATGTGATCTGTAATATCAGTGTTATTATGAGTCCGCTCCGGCTGAAGGGTCACGGCACAGGGTTTATGACCGGGATCATATCATCAGATCTATATTTAGTGTGTTATGAATGTGTGAGATTATTGACTAATGCAGTCATGCGTATTAGAGAGGCTTGTCAGTGAAGCTGTCAGCGACACACACACACACACACACACTCCTGGGTCATTAGTGTTTGCACCAGCGGCGTGTGGCGTATTACAGCTGATCATGATAAACCCGTAGTTCAGATATATAAATATATAGTACTTGTTGTATAATATATTTAGAAATTTCATGTAAATATTTATTTCTTCTTCAGTAGTTTTTAGTAAAGTTATTCAGTGTGTTGGTGGAGTTGAGTTGAGTGTGTGTGTGTGTGTGTGTGTGTGTGTGTGTGTGTGTGTTTTTTTAGAATGTGTGTGTGTGTTTGTTTGTTTTTTTAGAGTGTGTGTGTGTGTGTGTTTGTTTGTTTTTTTAGAGTGTGTGTGTGTGTGGGGGTTTGAAAGTCTGTGAGTGTGTGCGTGTGTAGGTTTGATAGTGTGTGTGTGTGTGTTTGTTTGTTTTTTTAGAGTGTGTCTTTGTGGGGGTTTGAAAGTGTGTGAGTGTGTGTGTGTGGGTTTGATAGTGTGTGAGTGTGTGTGTGTTTGTTTGTTTTTTTAGAGTGTGTGTGTGTGTTTTTTTTTTTTTTTTTAGAGTGTGTGTGTGTGGGGGTTTGAAAGTGTGTGAGTGTGTGTGTGGGTTTGATAGTGTGTGAGTGAGTGTGTGTGTGTGTGTGTTTGTTTTTTTAGAGTGTGTGTGTGTGTGTGGGGGTTTGAAAGTGTGTAAGTGTGTGTGTGGGTTTGATAGTGTGTGAGTGTGTGTGTGTGTGTGTGTGTGTGGGTCGGTTTGAAAGTTTGTGTGTGTGTTTTAGAGTGTGTGTGTGTGTTTGTTTGTTTTTTTAGAGTGTGTGTGTGTGGGGGGGGGTTTGAAAGTGTGTGAGTGTGTGTGTGGGTTTGATAGTGTGTGAGTGTGTGTGTGTGTGTGTGTTTGTTTGTTTTTTTAGAGTGTGTGTGTGTGTGTGTGGGGGTTTGAAAGTGTGTAAGTGTGTGTGTGGGTTTGATAGTGTGTGTGTGTGTGTGTGTGTCGGTTTGAAAGTTTGTGTGTGTGTTTTAGAGTGTGTGGGTTTGAAAGTGTATGAGAGTGTGAGTGTATGTGTGTTTTAGAATGTGTGTGAGCGTGTGTGTTTGTTTGTTTATTAGAGTGTGTGTGTGGGTTTGAAAGTGTGTGTGTGTGTGTGTGTGTGTGTGTGTGTGTGTGTGTGTGTGTGTGTGTGTGTGTGAAACACGAGCGGCTCAAACACAGATCCAGCTCTCGCTCTGACATCACTGATGACACGGAGACGCTAATATTACCCATAATCCCCTGGGTGGCAGGTAACCGGATCTGAGTGTGACATTGCAAAAGGCAGTGTGAGAGTGTGTGACATTGCGAAAGGTGTGTGTGTGTGTGTGTGAGTGTGTGTGTGTGTGTGTGTGTGTGTGAGTGTGTGTGTGAGTGAGTGAGTGTGTACTGTGTCTAATTATTTTGTATATATAAATACACACACATGCATGTATATATTTAAGAAAAAATGTGTTTTTTTAATATATAAAATATTTATATATAATATAAATGATGTATAAATATATATACAGTATATACATGCAAATATGTCTTAAATATATACATGCATGTGTGTGTGTATTTATATATACAAAATAATTATACACAGTACACACACATATATATTATGTAAACGTTTATTTTGGATGCGATTAATCGCTGCACTTTATATCACTCGAGTGGGAACTCCAGAAACACACATTAGCTTATGGTTTGGAATTACGTCCATGTAATTTTGAAGTGTATTTTATATATAAATATTTGTCTATTTTATAATATATATTTAAAAAAAACCATTCAAATTTGATGTCAATATGCATTTATAGCATTTATTTATATATATATATATACATGTATATTTCATATTTATATTTAATATATATAATTCTTTATATGGATTATGATGAATGATGAAGTCACTTCCTTTCCCAGAATGCTAAAATTATCTGCAAACAATATTTTAATATGTGTTAAATGGTATTAAACGTATTGTAGAGAAACATATAATGAAAAGGCATTGGAGCTCATGACAGCTCTGGTGTGGAGGTCTGCAGTTACTCCTCCTCCTGGCACTAGTTCAGTTCATCTTCACACTCATGCATTAAACACGAGCCTTAAAGTATTAATGAAGTGTGTGTGTGTGTGTCTGTGTGTCTGTGTGTGTGTGTGTGTGTGTGTGTAATTGAGCTTTATTCTGTGGCTCTGATTGAAACCTTTGAATCATTTAGAGAAAGAGCAGATCTGGGATCAGTTCAACACACAGTCCATGACATCAGACTGCACCATCGCAGATAAACACTTCAGTCGTGTGTGTGTGTGTGTGTGTGTGTGAGTGTGAGTGTGTGTGTGTGTGCGTGCGTGTGTGTCTGTGAGTGTAAGTGAGTGTGTGTCTGTGTCTGTGAGTGTGTGATTGTGTCTGTGAGTGTGTGTGTGTGTGTGTGTGTGTGTTAGTTTGTGATTGTGTCTGTGTGTGTGTGTGTGTGAGTGTGAGTGAGAGTGGGTGTGTGTGTGTGAGTGAGAGTGTGTGTGTGTGTGGGGGGGGGGGTGTTCTATTTTTTGTATATCCGTGTGTGTGTGTGTGTGTGTGTGTGTGTGTGTGTGTGTGTGTGTGTGTGTGACAGTTTTAAGGCTGTAAAATGTCTTCTGACACTCTATAATTAGTGTGACTGGTGACCAGATCGACCCACTGACACCTGCCACTATCAGAAATGCTAAATAATCACACACACAGAGTCAAAGAGCATTAGCAACTCTTTCAGATACACAATGTATATACAAACAACTTACAGTATGTTTATAGAAATGGGATTTTTCATGATATAAACCCTTTAGATTAATCTAATGTGTTTTTGTCTTGATAAGAGATGCTGTATTCTGAGTGGACGAGAGCAGGTGTGTGTGAGTGCGTGTGTCTGTGAGTACGTGTGTGTGTTTATGAGTGCATGTGATGTGTGTGTTTGTAAGTGCATGTGTGTTTGTGAGTGCGTTTGTGTTTTGTGAGTGTGTGTGTGTGTGTGTGAGTGCATGTGATGTGTGTGTTTGTGAGTGCGTTTGTGTTTTGTGCGTGCGTTTGTGTTTTGTGAGTGTGTGTGTGTGTGTGTGTGTGTGAGTGCATGTGACGTGTGTGTTTGTGAGTGTGTGTGTGTGTTTGTGAGTGCGTACGTGAGTGTGTGCGAGTGTGTGTGTGTGTGTGTGTGTGTGTGTAATGGATGCACCCGACCCATGTGCACAAGAACAACATAAGATGGTTAGTAAATGATGACAAAAACTTCATATTTGGTTGAACTGTCCCTTTAAGTAAACACTGCTGTTTTTTTGGACCGCAACCCTAAAGTGTGATTCCCTGTCGCATCTCTCTCTCTCTCTCTCTCTCTCTCTCTCTCTCTCTCTAACAGAATCGGGGCTTTGTTTTATCTGGGCGGGTTAGTACCACATCAAACGCTGGGTGTTGAAGGAGGCTAAACTCCGGCAACAGAGCCACTGTTGTATTAAAGCAGACGAACATGTCATGTGATCAGAGAGGAAGAGAGGGCAAGGGAGAGAAATGAGGCTAATTTACAACTTTAATAGAAATCTGATTCGTAGCGGTGAAGTGCAGTGGAGGAGATAACGGCATCCAAGGGCCAGGAGTCTCTCGTTAAAGGAATCTACGAATCTAATTATGATGGAGCGATTTAAAGGGGTGCTATAATGACCTTTTTACAAGATGTAAAATAAGTCTCTGATGTCCCCAGAGTGTGTGTGTGAAGTTTCAGCTCAAAATACCCCACAGATATTTTTATATAGCATGGTAAAATTGTCACTTTTTGAGGGTGAGCAAAAAACACACACCGTTTTTGTGTGTGTCCCTTTAAATGCAAATGAGCTGCAAATCATAATCATCCCCCCCCTTTAACCACTACGCTCTCGGCCAGAGGAAGGTCTGGGTAAACGCTCCGCTCTGGAATTTTCCACAGATGTTCCGTGTTTTTGATGTGTGTGGCTGAGCTGGGAAGGGAATTTTTTTTGGATATATGTAGTTATTAAGTTGTGTAAGCACTGTATGTGTGCAGAGCAAAGGGGGAATCCTGTGGAGTAAACAGGAGTGAACAGGCCAGAAGGAATAGGAAGGAATTATGGATAATGGGTCAAGTTTGTCCATTTATTGGGCTTGTTTTAGGCACACAACATATTACTTAAGGATGGAATACTTTGATGATACAATCAAACCAAAAATTATTCAGACACCAGATATAATTTTTCAATTTGTTTTTTACTAGTGTGATCAGGACACTATAGTTCATTTATGTAAGTGAGGAGAGCAAAATAAAGTAAACTGTGACATATTATACCCAAATATTCTTCATACAGTGACTACCAGTGACATTTATAAAGATTCAGGACCAGAAATGACTCCTCCACTTTGAGCTGATCCTGTTCTGCTGAAGTGTGTTTTCTGTAATGGCTAATGCTCTTCTTACACACAGACTGAACAACATGAAGCATTGCTTGGTCACTGGTTGAGCTAAACTGGTATTATCTAATTGTGTAGTTAAATTTAACAGCTGACAGATATTCAACATAATTAATGTGTGAGAGTCTAACAGAAGGACGGACAAAACCAGTCAAATATCCACTGATCTGAGAACTCTGAGTTCTGCTCATGTTTTATTACCATTTTGTAAACTATAGCGAATAAACCATGATAATGTGAGAAATGTTGGTGTCGGAATAAATTTTGGTTTGACTGTAAGTCTTTGAATAACTGAAGATGTAAGAAGTGGTCATATGTGCAGCTGAACTATTAAGCGCCAGTTGCTCCCAAATTGTTACTTTCAGAAAAGAATTGGGCATGCAGTTCTAGAAAATTACTTTAAAGCGTCTATCAACTTTAATAAGGTTTTTTTGTGTTGTTTTTGTGTGCATGTTTCTTTAATAATGATTTAATTAAAGTCCCCTTGTAGTCAATAATTTTATCCCTTTAAACTCATCTTTGATCACCAAAATTACATATTTAAAAGTTTTTTCCTTGATAATAATGTCTTTATGCCTTAAAATAGCTTGAGTGTAACTCGACACCCTTGCCTCATTTAGTATGCGCGGTTCTATGAATATGCAAATTAGCCCCGCCTCCACTCACTCACTCAGCTCAGAGATCCACTGGTTGACGATCACACGTTGATCTGATTGGTTACAAGGTCGTTTGTGACGTCAGAAACACCAGCGATTTCAAACCGTGTTTTTGAGACTGTCTTTGGTTCACTGCAGTTTAAAGCAGAAAATACTCAGCAATGCTGTCGACTTATGAACTTACACATGGTTTGTCTTAAAGCATATTAAAAACACCACATAGACACATAAACAACATTAAAAGGTGGATTTGCACCACAGCATGGACTTCAAAAAGTACTCCCACAAGACTTAGGGTTGGTTTTTCACAACGACTAGGAGCAATTTACTTATTGAACCCTCCTTTTCTTCCCATAGATCCTTCAGAGCAATCCACTGGTGGACTTTCTCCTTCTTCTAGCCCAAACCCAGCTAAAAGGAGCACAGCTATCAACTGGTCTTTTCCCGATAAAATCAAGTCACCACGGACTGTCCGGAAACTTTCTATGAAGATGAAGAAACTGCCTGATCTTAGTCGGAAGCTTAGCGTTAAAGGGAACCCTAGCAATGTGTCCATCAGCAACAGCCAATCAGAACCAAGGGCTCACTCACCTAGAGCCAATGGGATTGCAGAACTGGGCCAGTCCCGGCCCAGACTGTCTCCGTCGGGTGTTACGACTGCATTGGCGAGTGGTAATGTGATTTGGCGGTACCATCTTGACAGCAGTGTTTCTACTCAGCACAACTTTGATAAAAGAAGGAGCAACTGTGGCGGCATTCCCAAATCGGCAAGTAAGGGAGGTTATCTAAGTGACGGAGACTCGCCTGAACTTGTGGCCAAGTCGGGAAAACACGGGAACTCTGAAAGAAAAAACTGTAAAGCCCGAGATCCCAATGGGAATGGCGGAAGTCCGAAGCTCCCCGGCACAGAGTTGGATATCGATGCCTTCCGATCGTACAGTTTCTCCGAGCAGCCGAAGTGCCTAACGTTCATCTCGGGACTAATGAGTTTGCACTTCTATGGGGCAGAGGACTTGAAGCCACCGCGGGTCGATTCCCGCAATGTTTACTGTGCCATTCAGGTGGACTCTGTCAATAAAGCTCGTACGGCTTTGCTTACCTGTCGCACGGCCTTTCTAGACATGGACCACACCTTTAACATTGAGTTGGAGAACGCTCAGCACCTCAAACTTGTGGTCTTCAGTTGGGAATCAACGCCACGACGGAACCGGGTGTGCTGCCATGGATCCGTGATTCTCCCGGCGTTGTTTCGCGTGAGTAAGACACACCAGCTTGTGGTCCGTCTGGAACCGCGTGGGATGATCTACGTAAAGCTGAGTCTCATGGAGCAGAGGCAGAACTCACTCGATGGCCCGGAGGGGGGTCACGAAACGCAGGTTTTCGGCGTAGAGGCTCGGCGCGTGGTGGAACGGGAAGCTTCTGGATTAATGGTTCCACTGCTTATCGAGAAATGCATCTCTGAGATCGAGAGGAGGGGTTGTCAGGTGAGTGAGGGAAGCAGATCTTTTAGGGTCTTTAACCTGCATGACGTTCCTAATCAAATCTCCAATTTAAAGGTGAACTGTGTAATTATTTTGATGCCAAATTACTTGGTACAAAGTTCTCATATTCCAGTTCAATCTGTAACTATAAATAAGCCATTGATACATCGACTTTATGAGCAGCATCATAAGGTGGCACCTTCAAAAGAGTCCTAGAAGAGTTTGGAACGGGACTACCAGGGATGGGTCAGAAAGAGCAGTAGAAATGTTTGTGAAACTTGATTTTCGTGAAATGCATCTCTGAGATCGAGAGGAGGGGTTGTCAGGTGAGTGAGGGGAGCAGATCTTTTAGAGTCTTTAACCTGCATGACGTTCCTAATCAAATCTCCAATTTAAAGGTGAACTGTGTAATTATTTTGATGCCAAATTACTCGGTACAAAGTTCTCCTATAAATAAGCCATTGATACGCCGACTTTATGAGCAGCATCATAAGGTGGCACCTTCAAAAGAGTCCTAGAAGAGTTTGAAACGGGACTACCAGTGATGAGTCAGAAAGAGCTGTAGAAATGTGTGCTTGGAGTTTTGCAGTTTAATTTTATCCCACTAGTAGCCCCAAAATAACGCACTCTTGTAACTCTATGGCTAGATTCAGACTGCAGGCGAAATGTCCCATATCTGATATTCCATATTAATATGGAAGACAGCTGCCAAGGTAGTCAGTGGAGTGACCGTGAGGTCTCACAATGTTGACAGCTCTATACAAGCAAAACTATCAACTTTGCTCTCTTGTTTCCCCATCCTTCTGGATCCTTCTTATCGCACGAAACCAATTTGCACCACTTATAAATGAATGTGTAAACCTTGACTTCAGTGGCCCCAATGTAGGGCTGCACGATTAATCAAAAGGAAACCACACGGGATTTGGCAAAGGCTGCGATTATTTTATGCGCAGCTTGTCAGTGCAGCACAGCTCAATTTCATGTCATTTGCAGTTATTCGTGCAGCCCTACCTACATGTTTATTTCTGTATGACAGCATGCTGCATGCCATCTTTGCATTTCATATAGTGCTTGTACATCTGTACACCCAAAGCGCTTTACAATCATGTCAGGGGTCTCTCCACAACCACCTCCAGTGTGGAGCGTCCACTTGGATGATGCGATCGCCAGTGCATCACCATCGGCGCCTGTGCGCTCAACACACACCAGCTATAGGTGGAGAGGAGAGAGAGTGAAAGAGCCAATTGAGTGGAAACGGACACCGGGGTTACAACCCTACTCTTTACAAGAAGTGCCATGGGATTTTTAATGACCACAGAGAGTCAGGACCTCGGTTTAATGTCTCATCTGAAGGATGGTGCTTGTTACAGTATAGTGTTCCCATCACTATACTGGGGCGTTAGGACCATAGACTTTAAAAAAAATATGGACGTAGTGTGTGTGACATCACCCGTAGTGTTTCTAAAGAGCATTTTTGAAGCCCAAAGTAGGTGCAGCCGGCCGTCGCTATCTTGGCAGCGTCACTCCCGGATAAATGAAAATGTGCAGCGAGGCGGATTAGCTGAGGTGACGTGACGCTAACAGACAGCAGACAAGCGGCTAGCAGTGACATCAGCGGCAATCCACCTGTCACTCAAGTGGCCACGCCCTTAATTATGCAGAACTTTAAGGCTTAATATAATTTAAACGGATGAGTTTACCTCCGGATGAGTTTGCCCTCCCCCCCCCCCGCGCTTAGCTTCAGTAGGTGACCAGTGTTAGGCTATATGGTGATATGGCTGTGGCTAAATCTTTGTTTATCTTTTGCACATGCGGGTCAGTTCAAGATCGTGACCAGTTCACACTCAAATCCGATATTATCCACATTTAAAAACTCTATCAACCGCTAAACAAAACAATGGAGCACTAAGACTTGCAGTATGAATGTAGCCTAGTTGCCCAGAAATTACGCACTTTGCCTTGAAGTGTATGAGTGTCTTCTGTCATTTGTTAGGCTTTAGTTAAAAGTGAGCTCGCCAACCGTTCTAAAGTCCTTGTCCATGGACATTACACACTCACACAAACAAGCTTAGCAAGGCCTCTCCATGGTTTGTGTGCACAGGCATATTGCCAAAGTTCTAGCCATTCATCTCCGTTACACACACACACACACACACACACACACAATCTGTCTCTGTTACAGTGTCACCCAGAGTTTAATGCTGTTCTCGTCCATTCATCCCACCAAGTGTGTCTGCTGTCAACCCTCAAAACAACTCTTGTCTGCTGTTCTCAGATCAGATGTACCCCAATACACACACATGGTCAATCTCATTCTGGACCAGCTGAGAAAGTTTCAGCCCCTTTGGTGTAAAGTAGATCCTTTGGGAAGGCTTTAAAGTTGCCGTTTTTACCTCAGATGACCGTGAAGTGTTATTAGCCTCCGAATGCTAAATCCACAGCTAAAGCCCATATATCTGATATATATATATACAGTTGAAACTCGAAAAATTAGAAAATAGTGCAAAAGTTTAAGTAATTCAGCTTAAAACGTGAAACTAATATATTATATAGACTCATTACATGCAAAGTGAAATATTTCAAGCCTTTATGTGTTATAATTGTGATGATTATGGATTACAGCTTATGAAAACCTTTTCACGAATTTGGGTTTTCATAAGCTGTACGCCATAATCATCACAATTATAACAAATAAAGGCTTGAAATATCTCACTTTGCAATGTAATGAGTCTATATAATATATTAGTTTCACCTTTTAAGTTGAATTACTGAAATAAATTAACTTTTGCACGACATTCTAATTTTTCGAGTTTCACCTGTATGTATATATATACACACAGTATATCCGCATATCAAGTTTAGCATGTTTTTCTTGCGCTTCTTTGAAGTTGCACTGTTGTGCTGTAATTTTTTTTAGATGATGTAACCTAGCAAGGTCATGTGACAACTGTGTAGCTAGGGATGCACGATATATCGGTGACCATATCGGTATCAGCCGATATATGTTTATTTTTAATATTATCGGTATCGGCCTGATAAGAAAATTTGGCCGATATATTAAAGCCGATAAATAATGGATTATTTTCAATTGCTTTAAATATGACTGGAAGAAAGGAAAATACAGTTGAGTTTAATTTGCAACAAGTCTGTCATATAAGCTACGTAAAATTATAATGAGAACTTTATAATTGTGTGCTTGCAACATGGCTTTTAATGGTGAGAGTTTTGTTTTTGTAATCAGGCTCTTGAAAATTGTATAAAATTTTGGATTGAGTGTATAACCAATATATCGGTTATCATCTTTCAAACTTAAAGAATTATCGGTTATCGGTATCGGCCAAAATGTTCATAAAAAGTCACATACTATTTTAAGTTAGTATGCAGTATTTAAGGTTTGTTAGCATCTGAAGCAACAACTACATTTGTAGCCAAAACCAACAAGAACTGTTCCTGGATTCATGTAACGTAGTGAGATCATGTGACAAGTGCAGCATACTAGTTTAAAACATCGGTTATTGCATATTTCACACTATTGCATACTATTTTTCAGCTTTGTTCTCGTTTGTTTTGCACTATATACTGTATGCAGTGTATACTGTGCAGTATTTAAGTACACTACAGCTAAAAAGGACATTTTTCACAGAAATGCACAAATGTGCAATTATTGCATTTATTTCTGAGACGATAATTATATGTTTCTACTAATGTGAGTATGCTTGGTCATGTGACAGCAATGCAGCACACTACAGTTTGAGACATTAATTGTGTTCACTGCCCTTTTAAAGCTAATATGAAGTATATTCTATGTAGTGGTTGCTCTGTATTTAGTTCACTGAATTATACTATTCTTGGTAACTGAAATAAGTGAACTTGTTTTAAGGTCAAAGCTTTGCTGATCACAGTGTGTGTGGGAACTTTACTAAAGCTTTTATAGTTTGCTTTAAGACGCACGACATGCGAAGGTCACGTATGCTGAAGGAATGCTTCTTATGAACTATGGCCGCGGGAAAACATCCACCCAGTGTGTGTGTGTGTGTGTGGGTTAATGATTGGCTGTGTGCCGTGAGGGTTTTTCCCCAGCCCGTCTTGCCTGTTTAACCCTCTGGTGCTCTCTGGGCATTTTTGACCGAAAAATTGTACGTTTTATTTTTTTTACTTTATCGGAATGGTACGAAACGTGGTAAAGGTTTTGGCACTTGCTATGTGTGTGAACACACAAAAAGG